GTCCCTCTTATTTCAATATGTGCCTTTTACTTGTTGTACCAATCTTCAAAGAACTATAGTAAATATGTTTTTATTCTTAATTTGATGATGCATTATCTAATCGCCATCTTTGTTAAAAGAGAAAGACCATCACTGAACATACGGAGAGGGCTGCAGTTTCAGCTTCCAAGTTTTTACAATTCAGCCAGTTAACTAATTCCAAAGACATTACATAAGCACTTTCATCATGATTCAAAAGGCCAATCACATAGCCATGCAAAACAAAGGTCTCCAAAAAAATCTAGGAAAACTAGGACTTGGACTATGTCTAGGAGGGTGGACCTCCATGCTGGTTAAATGCATCATCTATCCAACTACAGATTCCTCTGGTGCGAGCCAACAGAACTGACAAAGACTCTTGGATAGGTGTCGAAACTTCTTTAGGAAAAAAACAAAAAACAAACTGAGTGAAAGTCTGGTTGCCTCCCATTCAAGCCTTTTTTGTGGTCACCATGACACAGATAACCTTGAATTTACAGAAGGCACTTTCTATTCAAGTAACATATTATATGTGTACTCACTCAAATACTTGGAGTTGTCTGTTAGTTTTTTAAACGATAAAAAAAAAAAAAGTTAAATTATGATTTTTGTTGACAATACCACAATCTCTCAATTCACCCAAAATAAGATATGAGGGGTAACTTTGAAAGAAATTTTTATTTTGAAATAAAATCAATGAAATTACTTACTAAATGTGGTTACTTTACTAAACCTCTATTGTTTTGCCAGGACTTTAGTATCTAACTGTTTATGTAATGCAAACCTCTTGTTGCCAAAATAACAATCATTTTATGCATTTTATGAAGTGCACTTCCAACTTTCCAGCTGATGTTTGAGATAGTCTTTCAGGAATCCCAAATGTGTGCAGTGAGCCTGAAAGATTTACTGATTTGTTTAGTTTTAACAGCTGCTCCTAAGACTTCCTGTTTCTGTGGAGGTGTGTTGGTTTGTGTGCAGGACAACACACACATTTACATTTGTTTATTTTGCTTATGCCCCTAGGCAGTGAGTCAGTGCTTTTAATGTTGTTGACTGATATCTACCTAATTCCCATCAGACGCTTTCAATCATCTGCCTTTATACAGGTACATATATGCACAAATACTTTGGTAAAAGGTAAACACAGGCTTTTTAATGTTTACTAATTTTTTAACTTTTAACTGTTTAAATACAACCAATGATCTCATGCAAGAATAAATGCATGTACAGTGTTACAAACAAAATATTTAGCAGGTCCCAACTTTATATTAACTGAAAATACTTTCTTAGCAGTCCCCAAACTAGAGATCAGAAAACACTAGGACAGATATAGTTTGTTTAAGGGTTTCTATAAATGCTGAAAAAGTATTTAGGTCCTTCCAAAGGTTTAAAAAGTGAAACTAAAAATAAATTGCTAACCAATTTATTTTCATGAAATACTTTCAGTTTTTATTTGGGATCTACATTGTCTCTGTATATATGCGGTGTGCAAAATCTCTTTGAAATATTTAAATATTATATAAACTCTTTAACCTGTTAAAAGTTGTGCCACCTTATAGCTTATATTGTTTAGGCAGCATCCAAGTCCAAATATTGACATTTCATCACATCAAATACCCACACACAGTAGTGCAAAACAAATAAGTGTTTTTGTAATACTTTACAAAACAAGTTTATACAACCACCTTTACTCTATTATCTAAAAATGAAGTGCAAAAAAGCCTGAAGAACAGACCTAATTACTAAATAGAGCCCATCTGTTTTGAATTTAATTTGACAAGTACAGCAGTGCTGTGAAGGTCCCAGTGGTTTATTAAATCATATCCCTGAACAAACAGTATAAAAAACAAAGGGGAACCCACCACACAATTTGGGAATAAAATGTTCAGATGTTTAATAAACGGTTATTGTGAAAAAGTACCTCAAGGTTTTTGATTTCTCCCAAGGTACTGTTTGATTTGTCATTTAGTGCAAAGTGTATTATACAATTATCTATACAGACATGTTTACATAAGCTAAGCTTACCTTACCTAACCTAGCCGCAGAAATCTGCTGCTCCATAAATTATTCACTCCACAATCCTGGCCCTTGGTGGAAGAATGGCAATAAAAATGGCAATAAGAACTTGAAAGCTGGTCTGATTTGGTTATATCAGAGTTGATAAAGGGCTTTAGACAGGGGCAGAGCTACTTTTCCTAGCATGTCGACACCAAAAGCAATGTGTGACATGATTTATAGGTTGCATAGGTAAACTATGACCTCTTTCAGTTATTTTTGGTATGTGACTCTGTGCAATCCAGGAAAAAAAGATCAATAATAATACTATGTCCACTTACAAAATACAGTTTATGTGATATATGGTACTACTCTTACTTTATTCTTTTTTATATCTAAACTTGAAATGTAGTTATTTAAACCTTTAGGCTCTCTCTTACCATGATACAGTAATCTGATCAGAAGGATAGACATGCCTGGTTAATGCATCTCCCCCCCAACGTTTCCCTCTGGACAGAAGAAGTGAAAGAAATGTAATAAGAAAGAAAGTTCAAAGGGATAGAAAATATGGTGGGGATGAAAAAGACCTGACAATTCACATGCATGTATGGAAAAGCCTTTCACTCTTCTTCCCTTACATTATCACTTATTTTGTGGTGGGAACTTCTTTAAACTAAAATTACTTTCAAATTTCAAATTGTTGTTCTTTGTTGTTTTGTTTGAGACTAAAACGGTAACCTAAGAAACAGTAGTATAGCTCTATCTGAGTGCACCTCCCCCCACTAATCACCCCATATGTAATGGGATAGTCTAGTCCCATAGGAGTCGCTTATGTAATAACAGATTAAAAACTCAACCAGTTTGATGTATGTCGAAATTTATCTATAATCTTATATTATGTAGAACCATGATGGATTAAAGATATGGTGATTTTTTTCTGGAAACGTAGGTAAGAAGCACTTGAGTCAATTTTTTTTTCTTAAAATTGTAAAACAGTTTGCTTCTTGTGACTCTCTGCCATTTTTAAAGTATACAATGAGAGCAGCAGGGCTACAGCCAAAGCTAACTGGATGCATAAACTCTAAAAGTGTCCTTTTTGCAGCAAGAGTACACCTACTGGCAGGTATGGGGGAAAACAAATAGATGAGATGGTCATCTTGGAGCTCGAAGAAAAAAGGATTGTGCAATATACCTTTATTTTAGACATCATATATGTGAAAGTAAATGCATATGTTTTTTAAAAAGGAAAACTTAGACTGTCCTCAGGATTTATTTGAAAAACTTGGAGGGTGCGCTCGTTCAATGTCTTTGGTTTTCACAGTGTGAATATTGTAGATTGACCCTGAACTGGCTATAGTGCCTTTATGTTTTCTGCCACTCCTTAGTGAACATTTGCCTCTAATTGGACACCCCAATGAAAACTGGTTCACCTCTGGTTTTCAGAATCAGCCTTTGTTAATCTGTGCATTTTTCAGAAATAAACAGTATATCAACAAATAAATTGACAAATTAAAAGCAAGACAAATGGATGGCGGCAAAAATCAACACCATTGAAACCAAATTCAGATTACCCAGTCAGAGTCCTCCATGTGTTTCTTAGGTATATCAGAAAGCTAAAGATAAATAGCTAAGAAACCTTGACCCTACCCATCCTGGTTTCAATATGATTTATTTGATTGACAATAAAATGCAAAGGGAGAATAGGACGACAAATAGAGTGCTGCTTTCTCAGCATAGGGACCAGCAGCACCATGAATTAGATGGTGGAAGAGGAGATGTACAACTTATTGATCTTTAAATCTTGTTCTGGTCCGTTTGCAGAAATGTTTAGTGAACATGACATGTTGAGGAGTTAACATAGCAGCATTGCTTGCATTTCACGTGCTAAATATATTTGGACAGCCATCACGAGGATCTTAACACAAAGCTTTGACATATATCATTCAGTTTGTTATAAAGGCCCCTACCCCTCGATCTGTGATCCCATGCTGTCAAAGCCTGCAAAGACCAGCCATTGTGCTAGATAGAGTTCTATAATGTAAATAATGACATTAATCTTATGGGTGTACATTTGTAAATTCATCATGGAGCTCTGAAGCATTCTGACAGTGTGATTGAGATAAAATCTCAAAACATTTGCACTACTTCTAGAGGTTCAAAGATTTCCAAATTTAAGTAACACTTTGATTTTTTTGTAGTGTACAGTACTATAATCTCTGTTTATTTTTTGCTTTGCATCAGACAAATGTTAGACCTGTTTTATTCTTTGATTTATTTTCTGGATCTTATTCTTTTTGCCATTGTTATTTTTTATCTTCTGTTTCTGTCAGGGAGAAACATTTCAGCATATTCAGGACATAGTGGTGTCTCTGCTGCGGATAATCAACAGAACAGTCATCACAATGGGCCGAGAGCACGCGCTGATTGTAAGTATATACTATCATTCCTTCGTATTTAGATCCAGGGTTACTATACATGTGAAAAGAAATGGAACAACATTGACTTGAATAAAAGTAATTTCCTTGTCGGCACAACCATCAAAGAAGGAATTTTTTTGTACTTCTATAATTGTTTTTTTTCCCCATCCATCCATCCATCCATCCATCCATCCATCCATCCATCCATCCATCCATCCATCCATCCATCCATCCATCCATCCATCCCATAAGATGTTTTTAAAACACGCACTTTCTCCTGTAACTTGGTCAGAACTTTGTAGTCATGGTTGAAAATATTTCCCCATATTTACTCAAAACCCTAAAAATTTGAGTCTGGAAAAGGAAAGAATTTTGATAGTTAATGAACCCTTACATTCTTTGTTGTAGATTGGCTTTATGGACATTTATGAAGCGTTTTAATTATCATATTTCGTCTACTGTTAACCTGAAGAAAACCTTCACTACACTATTTATGGAACAATCAGTGTCATTCTGAAATACAAAGCATAATCACCACAGCAACTTTTTTTTGTTGTCAAACTACACATTTTATTCGACATACAAGTGGAAGATCAGGGGAAAGGGCTTTGCTGGAGCTCACGCACTGTAAAGGGACAGATTATAAAAATACTATGACATTGATATAGATTGGATAATTAGTAAGTGTGCTGTCATCCACGATTTTAATTGGGGGCAACTTGTCAGCCACAGGATGCTGAAGTAGGCCTTTGTAAGATTAGTGGTTGTACCCTCCATGGCTCTAGAGCAAGCATGGCACAATAATGTGCCAGTAGAAAGAAAGCCCCGTTTGCACATTCAGGGATGAGGATAGAAACATGTAGAACGTGCATGTTTTACTTTCACTATTCTATGCATATTTCCCAGTGTTACTTGTGATTGCGTTGCCATTTTATAAAAGTGTGGCATCATTTCACAAGAAGAAGTGCTCTGTGGTTAAAGAAGCATCCTCCAATATTGAACATGGCAAGTTTAAGTAGTTACTAAATTTTGTTAATTCTGATAAACATTTCCAAATGAAAATCATTTTGTACAATTCGATTCATGCAAGAAAGAAATTAGAACTCAACTTTTAGATTCCCTATTTATATTAAATCAATGTTATGATACTGGCCCCACTAACAGTTCTACATTATTAATGATGGCTAGGTTTTAAAAACAAAGTGACAGTGCGGTAAGAAGCGCTGTGGGGTCCTTGGACTTGATAAAGTGCTATACAAGCACAGGCCAATTACCATTTACCACAGATGGTCTGGATCACAAGTAGAATAAAGGTGACCTTTATGCATGCATATGTAGGAAAAGTTATGTCTTGGAATTTAGTTGATTTATTAAACGGTGTAATTTGGTGGTCATAAACCCTTTTTGTGGAAGTATCTGTATGCATAGTGTGTGAAACTCCTTGAATTGAAATTAAGCCTCAGAAAAAAATTCAATTTTTGCTGAAAAATAAGAGAGAAAATCAATCACTCTGTCAGTCGGTGTTGACAGAATTTTTTAATAATCTGACACAGACTTGTCAGTCTTTCATCAACTGTCTATCACATTGTCTCTTAATGTATTCGTTGTGGAATCTCTATTATGCTGTTGATCCACTGAGCAAGCGCACCGTTTCCACATGGGTCATCTGCTTCTATTCCCCAACATGTCTCTAGTAATTTAAAGGTTGTACATTCATATTTCAGCAAAAAAGCTTCCAAATGAATTTCCCAAATAGTTTATTTCCTTGGTTTTACATCATGTCTGCTGCTTATTGCTGCGTCTCCTTCTATACATCTGTAAATCCATGTAGCTGGCTGGCTACTCAATCCATTTGATATCAGAAGTCTTTCTCAGTTATCCTCCACAGCTTTGGTTTAAAAAGTAGCTTCAGTACTTTAATTAGTTAGTTGAGAAATCAACTCCTTAAGTTTTTTTCTTGCTGCAGAGGGGGTCATCTTCTAAGGTTGAGAATCTCATTCTCATTAGGATAAACTTTTCTTTCCATCCCCATTTTTCTTCTCTGTGGTCAATGTTGTATTCTGTCCGGCCTTTGAATGAGAAGCTGTGAAAATAATCCTATTACATGGAAAATGTAAGAAAAAACATATTGGTTTCAATATGTTCAAACTTGGGTTCTTTGTACATCTGTATGAAAAAGTTCCTCAGCAGCAGAAAGTTTTGGCTCATGTGAAATAAAATCAAGGGTCTTATGCACCTGCTGCCCAGGAAGATGTATTAGATTTTGACACTTAGAGCCACCAGAAACACTTCTTCCGCAGTTTTTTGACACGTGCCTTGGTGCTGGGGCGGCTGGAGGACAAAGGAGCTGGTGTGGGCTTGGTCTGAGTTGGGGCAGGCACATCATATTCCCCTTCTAGGGCTTCAATTACCTCTTGGAAACGTCCTTCCTGCTGTCGGAAATCATGCTCCACACTGTATGGAAGACAGAGAGGGGGTGAAAAAGTTAAGAGGAAAAGGAGAAATAGAAGGATTGTGATTGGTGGGGTGTCTGTTGGTATATTCAACTTGCATTGTTTCGTAGAAAATAATATTACAAAATCTTTGCAATTATAAAATGTAGCCACAACATAACAATGCACTAAAGAGGGTTAGAAAATGCATTTTAAATCCTGTTTTACTTTTAACTTAGAGTGTTCGCACCTTAACACACACCATTGCTTTAAAGCAGACATCAACTCAGTACACTTTTCACGTCCAGAGTATCCTTCTCCACTTTATGCACCAGTAGATCACAGACTGGTAAATTGAGAGTAGGAGGAGTATGAAAAGGGGAAGTGGAAGAGAGAGACATTTGCACAATGGAGGAGCTTAAGGAAGGAGTAAGGGAGGAACTTCTTAACTGTCCAGAAATGTTCAAAGCAGACCCTTTTTACTTTCTATCTTATTCCCTCTTTCCTTTCTCATCTCTCTCTTGTGCTCTCTTTTTTCTGCTTTTTTTGCTGCAGGTCATGATGTGGTAGTCTATGAGCTTCTCGCTCCATTTTGGTAATAGTATTTGTGTGTTTGTGTGGGTGGGCGGGTGTGTGCTGAGCCGGATTAAAGGGGTGGAGCTGAATAGGGCCTGGCATCTGGAGTTAATGAGGCACATGATGAGGCAAGGAGAGCAGATACAACTAACCATCCTACCCTTTTCCTATATCCTAACCCCACAAAACAAACACTTCATGACAAACACAGAGAAAACACAGACGCACTTGTCTGGCAAACAACATGCATAAGAGGTCCCTCAATAAAGGCTCATACCTAAGCAACGAGGGAAAAAAAGTAATTTGATGTTTAAAAGATGTAATGCAGAGTAAGTAAAACAAGAGCCCCCTGGAAAAATAAAAGACGGAATAAATTGAGGTGCAAACAGAAATATTAATGAATAAGAGATGAGCTATCGTGGCTCCCTAAAAACAAAACAAACTCACTTATAGTGGGGAATAATAATAAGGGAATAATAATTTAATGAGAGAACAGATAAAGGCTTATTGGGCATAGAGGAAAGTAGATATGTTCAGAAAGAAATTAGGAAATTGGAGTTCAAATCCAGACAATGAATACATAGGGATAATGTTCATAGACAAAACTGTACCAGGAGACGCTAGCCAGTAGGCCAGTTGAAAAGGCTATCATATGTTTGCGGCAAAACAACTAACAAAGCATGCTAATGGTTACCTTAACATATAAGCTTTCGTTGTGTATTTGATCCAAAGCACAAAAAATCTATTCTATATCACAACTAGGTTGTGAAGGTTGGAGCTTAAGCTGGACCCCAGGAGAACTGCCCTTTGTTGTGTTCATAACTTTAATTGACAGGATTTCTTGGTGAGGCTAGTGGCCAGAACTTGGCATAAGCCAGATTAATCCATGCAGAGGGGAGTGGTGACCTAGTGGTTAGGGCATTGTGCTTGGGTTCCAGAGGGTCCGAGTTCAAGTCCCACTTCCACGGACTGCCACTCTGTGTCCCTGAGCAAGAGCCTTAACCTGACACTGCATAATGGCAGTCCACTACTCCCCAAGGGGATGGGTTAAATGCAGAGTGTTCATTTTTTTGCTTTGTACTTGTGACAATGTAATGATAATAAAAGTTGAATTCTGAATTCTTCTTTCAATTTAATTTATCAATATGGGAAGCCTCCTGTAGAAAACGTTCGCCAAAGGGAGGGACATTCAGAACTGAACAATTTTCTGAGCGGATTGGGTACCTGCCTCCCATGTCGAGTTTTAAGCCAATCATAGTTGCAGTGCAAGCTGAGATGTATCACATTCTTGATTTGTTTCACAGAGTTAATTGGTAAATTGTACTTTTACCAAATATGGTCGGGAGGAACGTGTATACATCTTACCATCTAAAAAGGCACACTTCCCATCCTTTTGCTTGTTTAAAAGAAAAAAAGAAATAGAACACTGAAACTAGCACTGCTGTGTTTATTTTGCTTCAGTCTTCCGCCTCTGGTTGACATATTGACATCATACACGTCACTGCATTTCCTTGGTCTGAAACATATCTATGTCAAGGCGTATGAATCTCTAGGCTTCCTGCAAGATGTATTTTTGGGAGATCTCGCTCCCACCAACTGAGACCTAGAGCATGTGCTGTGATGAAGATCACATAGATATAAGATGTAAAGCTCTGCCGTCCAAAATTGAGTCAGAGAGGAGCCTCTGCTTCTCCAAATTGAGAGGAGTCAGCTGTGATGGATTGGCCATGTGTTACAGATGGCCCCAAGGCACCTTCCTTGGGAGATGTTCCATGCACATCCCACTGGAAAAAGGCTCATGGGATGGCCCAGAACATGGCGGAGGTACTATAGTTTTGGCTGGTCCTGGGAACCAGTAAAGTGGAGGATGGAGAGTATTTTTTTTTTTTTCTATACTTTTCAGTGCATGGATTTAAAACTGTTCAGACCATGTAAATTTTTAAAAATATAAAATAAAATTTGAAATTGCATGCTATAATAGACAGAAAGCCAATGAAGAGAAGTAAATTCTGGGGTAATGCACTAATTTAGTTTTACACATGTAAGTAAACCACCTGCAAAATTCTGTACCAACTGGAGGCCAAAGTATTGGGAGTCAAATTAGTCTAATCTGCAGGTAACGGAGTAAAGTATGACCTGCTCAAATACTTCAGCTCAAAAGTATTGCTTTATCTTAGCAAGATCCCTGCACTCACCTGCATCAGCAGTTTAAAGGAACCATTGAGAAAAATATCAATGTGTGTGATATTATCTTTGAAGTAGAAGGATACGCCTAAAGCCCTTTCTGTTAGAGAGCTCCCAAAAAAACAATCTGTTTTGTTTTCATTAAATTTTTGAAAGTTTAGGGACAACCTTTGTTTAATGTCACCAAGGCAGCTCAATAACAGCTAAAACAGTATCTCCCTGCTTCTAAGGTAAGATCACGACAACAGTTAAATGAAATGCAATGGAATAAAAAATTAATCCTTAAAAATATAGATCTTATACAGAAACATACAGTACAAACAAGGCTGAACTCAAAATTGAGCCTTGGGGCATACTACAACTGAAGCAGCTTACTGTAGGGATTTGTGTTTGCATTAAAAAGTCCTTTCAGAGAGATATGACTAAAACCAATAAAGAGCAGAAGCTTTAATCGCAACACACAATTCTAGCCCCCCAGGGAGGGTGTCATGACCAACTGTGTCAAAAGTGGCTATCAAAGCCGCTAGAATAAAAAGTTCAAAGAATAACATTAAAAACTCTTAAGAGGGAGGTCTCAGTGTTATGAAGTGATTTAAAACCAGTTTGTAGCTTTAATGAAATTCTAATAAAATCAAGATGGGACTGAAACTATAACAAAAACACTTTCTTTAAAGCTTTTGAAAGAAAAAGTATAGAGATAGGTCTATAATTAGCCTTAACAATTGGGTCCAGTTGTGTTTTTCTTGGAGAGGCTGAACTATAGCTTGTTAAAAGCATGTTGGTGTCTGTACCAAGAATATAATATTAACAACTTTCTGAAAAAGTCCAGTTAAAAATGCAAAAAAAAAAATAAAAATTGAACATATTATCTATTTGTATATGGCCAACATTGTTACATTAACAATATGATTAAATTATTAAAACCGAAGTGAACTGTGTCTTGATGGTCTTTACAGGCTCTTGATCACGTGAAAAACACTCAGTGATTTTAGGGGAAAAGAAGTGATGGATAAAAAGAGGAGTTTGTAATAGTTTTCCTCACATAATAAAAAAGGATTTCCTTTCTGCTATGTGATGTCAAAGTTTTTGTCAGTGCAAGTCATTTAGATGAACATGTCAGTCCCAAAAATAGATTATCCTCTGCTTGTATAATACATACGAAAGAGAATTAAATGGACATACAGAAGCACTCATCTCAAAGTCGTTAACATTTTAAAATTAAGAAACTGGTACCTATTTATGAGTCCTCAAAATTTTTGTTTATTTTTTTATTTTTTCTCAGATGTACCTAACTGATCCTTTGTGAAATTGATCAGCATGTACAGTAGAAGTTTATCTAAAGAATAAAAACACACAATAACACAATAACTAGAGGATAAAGAAGTTGTTTAATTTTTAGAGAAATTCAATAAAAATAAGGCAAAATCTGTGTTTAATCAACTAAGCAGATCTAAAAACCAAATTATTGCTCTGTTTCAAAACTTTCTTTTCATATATAGTCAAAATTCATTTATTTTCTTCTTGTGTTTAAAGTGCCACTTTGGGAATTCAGTGCATTTGGTGGTCTCTTAAAAGCATTCTCAAACTTTTCAATGTATTTTTTTCATCAAATTTATTACTCTTCCACTGTCTCTGAAAAGCCTCTAAGGGGTTTGATTAAATTTGCATGAAAAAGCTTTTTGTGTGTTTTCTTGTTTAAGCAAAATGTTGTGTAATTTAAAGTGCAGTCATGTTTTAATTTACTTTCAAAAGATAGAGGCTAGTTTTTGTGAAGTGAAGTTGTATATCTTTGCGCTTAAAACACAAAATTCTTCTACACTTCACAGATATATTGGATCTAATTGGGAATGTTTTTATTTGTGCTATAGCGTTATTTCTTTTTTCTTTAAATGCTTTGTCATGTTTATTGTCAAGCATAGGGGCTGGCCGGCTTTTGGTATTTGAAAGATCGAGTCAACTTGGACATGTTACTAGTTTATTAAGAATTCACAGCCAACTGAAGTTTTGTGTTTCATGACAATGTCAATCAACATGGTTTTCTTTGTTGATCAGTGTAGATACATATATTGAGTTATACCATATAACTGTTCTTCTAACCAGCGGCATACGAAGCGGGGGGGACGGGGGGGACATGTCCCCCCCAATATAAAAGCCAGGTGGATATGTCCCCCCAAAAAAATTGTACCGCAAAATATTAGATTTTGACATTTTTTTTAACTAGCGTGCTTTTAATTTGAAGGCCCAGCATAGCGTTACCTAACTGTAAACTAACCTTAACTTGGAACAAAGGAAAAAAAAGGATGCACAGAGAAAGAGAATTAGTTGTATGGAAGCTATAAAGAGAAGAGGCACGTAAATATAGGAGAACCAAGCTGAAGTAAATTGCTTACTACGATAAAGAAAACTATAGAAGCATCGTTGTTCAGAAGAATCTCTTTGTCTACAGAGAATTAACTACTTATACAGTTGTTAAGCGGATAAAGTAAATTATTGATTAAAACAGTGTTTTAAAGGAAATCCAGGCATGTGAGGCTTATTTTCTTTTTTTTTTTTCAAGTGTGCTGTGGGTATGTGAATATGTGTTTGTTCTGTCTTTTATCCTGAAACACACATGACTATATATAGTTCTCCCTCAAGTGTATATCTCATGGCTCAATGCGAGGCACTGATGGCAAACATTGATGCATGCACAGAATGAACAGATGGAATCATATTTATAATTGATATATGTGAATGGAATATAAGATTTTATGGAAGTGATTGCAGAAATTAAACGCAGGAGAAGAGCAACTTTACATATTACAGTCGAATGACTTTTTTAGACAAGTTACATATTAGATGACAGGAACTGGAACGATCATATTCTCCTTTCATCAATGTATGGCCTGTTTGCGTTAAACATATATATTTTTTATTGTAGTTAAGTTTTGTCTAACTCGCATGCACAGTTTGCTTTCCCACAGCAGTACCTCAGTGAACTCATAAAATTAAGTTTCCCTATAAATAATATTTAGGAGTTAATAATTTATTTCAGTGCAATGCAAATAAATGTAAAAAAAAATGGGCTACAAAAAGCATCCAACAAGGTTTGAGTTATTTCTGTTTAGGATGTGATATATATTGGGTTCCTTACTTTATTTTGGTTACCTGTAAATGATGCAGGCTGTCTTCTGGCAGGTAGAGCAGTTGTTTATGTCTTGGCCAGTTCTGTATGAGCTGCGACTGCAGAAATGACAAATGTCAACGTTCATAAAAACATAAAAAACCAAAACAAAATACGATGCATAGTGTGTTTGACAATAGTGAATAACAGTTGCTGTATTTTTTGACATCATGTTTTTCTATCGTGAGACCACCCTTGTTTTGTTTTTTTTAATATCTTGTTTTAAAGATTTATTACCTGAAGAGTAAAATAACTATGACCAATCAAAAACAAGGGTGGTCTACTTAGTTGATTTTGTCCATGACTGTGTGTATATATGCATATGAGTGAGTTCATTCTCACCAATGCAGACAGAGTAACTGCCTGGTGCAGTATTAGATAGATTACCTTTAGCATCAGGCTATCCGTAATCTGTTTGAGTAGCAAGCAATTGTATATTTTGTGACAGTAGCTCATTTGTATGTCATTTATTTACTGTGTTGCCCATATCATTGTAATTTTATGATCTAAAACATCAGTTGCAGCCTGTTTTAGCTGTTAATTAGCCTAACTTACATATGCTGCGGTAATAGATCTGCATAAAGGTGTTGCACATCCTCAAGAAAAGTTAAAAAAATAAATAACCACAATTCACAGCCCACATTTGTGCTGCACCAGAAATTTACCACAATAATTTTACATCGCATCAAATGGTGCGGCTGGAGGGTAAAGAGATCTAAAGTGGTTGGCATCCAACTTTATAGTCTGATAATGTCAAATGTCAGAGTCCCAGAATTTGTTTTTTAATGAGATGGCGGCTTTCCTTTACTATATTCATCGCATTGCCGCTTGTTACTTTGTATTACCCTAAAGCCACATTTTTTCCGTTGTGATAGAAAATATATTTACAACATGGTTGAATATAAGATAGTTCAAACGATGTTGTTGGAATATCTTTCGTAATCATGCTCTAGATCAGGGGTGGCAAACTCAAAGCTAAGGTGCCAAATCTGGCCAACCACTGGATTTTCTTCGGCCCTCTAGATTCTGGAGGGCCACAGAAAAAAAACACCTTAAAGGAAAAGTACGGCCAGCAAGGAATAACCAACGGGTAATTATTTATACCTAAAACTAATACCTTTATGGGGATTTAATGAATTTAGCGTTAATCAATAAAAAGATAAAAACAATAATTTTCGTTGTGTTCACTGAGTCCGGGATCGGCCATTTTTGCCTTAATATAGTAATGCCTCACTCATGACATCTCGGCAGTGACGTCATGGTGTGGTCAGCCTAGGGCCATTCTCCCCGCTTTATAAGCAAAGTCAATTGGAATTACTAGACACATCGGAAATCAACAAAAACTATTTAAGATTTCGAGAGGACTTCATTGAAATTCGCGAGAGCCATAATTAAACTGACAATGCCCACGTGCGCGTTGAGCAATAGCGCGTTGTGAGAAAACACCAGTACAGCACTGTGACATTTGTGTTCTTGATATCACTTTAAATAATAATGAGTTTTATGCCCCTTCTTTAGATAAAGAAAAACACATTTTGTATGAATCTGTCATCCCCATTAAGAGTTTGATTGTCTGTACAGCTCACAGTTATGCTACATAATTGCAATTGTTAAAAAAAACACAAATGTGTGGGATAATGAGTTCTAATGTTTAGTCTCTAAAGGTAATCCAAGACAATCTAATTTATGTCTGAGTATTTTGGGTAGAGCTTAAGATAACATGAAACAAACTTAAATGCTAAAGTTCTACTTAAATCAAATCTGGTTTTCCTTTCTTTTTTGAAATTGTGACATTAAGTTGAAAATATCCTAACTGCGTTATCAAGTGTTAACAAGGGTACAAAATCACAGTGTGAGAATTTGTTAAGCTAATGATCGCTGCAATGTAATCAAAAGTTTTGCCAAGATGCTTTGGATGGCCTTTGCTTGAACAGATTAGCTGAAAGAGTAACTGATTAATGTTGATAAAGTTGACATTTTAATTACAGCTATGTTAAGGGAAACCGTATCACTGCCATCATTCTTCTTCCATCCCACCAACCTTTTTATCAAAGGCAACAGCAGTGAAGAAAAATATTTGCTTTAGGATGAAAAATAATACACGAAACAGATCACAGCGGCAAACTTTAAGCTCAACTGATGCCTTTATCAAAGCGGTCCACTTGGTGTGCTGTCATTGCTGTAACGGATAGACACAAACCCTCCGACTCTCTTTTATGTCTATCTCTCACTTCCCGCCTTTGTGTCTCACTGTCTCTCATTTGTCTGTCTCCCAGTCTGCCTGCTAATGTCAGAAATAACCAAACACACACACCCAAAAGGATTGATTCATGAAATTATATGGGGCAAGACAGCTTAAACTCCAGGTTTAGGAGTCTTATTGTGCAGCTTAATCACTAATTGCGGGGTAATCTTATAGGGATTAGTCTTGAGCGGAAACCATCTGTTAACCAGAAGGACATGCAATAAAAATGGGCTAACGGTAAAGATGTAGCCATTTTAGCAGTTATTGATTTAGAAAGTAGATACATCTGGCAAATATGTATATTTATTCAGAGGAGGTAATGGTCAAAATACATAAAATTTTGTCACTTTAGGTTTTCTCTGTGGAATGGCACACAGGTGTACATAGCTGTAAAACAATGTGTTTAAGTTTATGATACATAGTGCTATTGATAGAATTAGTATCATATAGTACCTTGGTAAACTTCACTATTATATTGCAGATGGTAAGAAGGCAGATTTTATTTACAGCTTTTAGAGACAGATATGGTTAATGGATGGAACTGTGAAAATGATGAAGGAAGATGAAGAGATGCTAACAGTGAAGTGGAGTAAGATCTAAAGGTGGAAGATAAACAGTTGCTAAAGCAATTGGAACAGCAGGGTTTAAGGGTTTGCAGATAAACAAAAAGGGATTATTAAGCTTTTCTGGGAAATCATAATGTTTAACTGTGACTGCAGCTCTAAAGGGTGAATAAAATAAAAGTACAGGGGAGGTGTAAGGATCACTTAATTTGATAAAAAAGTAAGCAAATTTTATCAGACAATTGGCAGGCACATATTTACACACAGTGTTTCTATAGACCTAACATTTAAAAAGCTATTACAAAACCTTGAAAGCCTTTCAGCATATAATGCAATAGAAACTCAAATATACTCTTCTCCATCTTTTGCGCTCCCTTGACAATCTCTTTGCTCCCTCTGTTTATTCTTTCATCACTCCATCTCACTATTGCTTGAACACTTACTATTGCAGTGTGTTCTTTTTTGTTTCTCTATCACTGACTCGCATCTTTTTCCTTTCTTAATGTCTTAAGTACTGGATAGTCAGCATTTGGCTTTGCTCTTTATTTCCTTTTCCTAAACTTCTTACCTTTTTTAAAATTCCCCTTAACTCCCCCTTCTCCTTGCTCTTTAGTTTCTAATGCCCCAATGCTCTCACCCTTCCATCATAGCTTTGCTCTTCTCCAGGTCTTGAATCACATTGAGAAGCACCTTGATCTTCTCCTGATTTGACAGAAGGTTCTCCTCCACACTCTGCAGTTGCCTCTCCAGCCCAGGTGGCGCTTTCAGTGAAGTCCTGTCTAACAGTCCACCGGGTGCTCCGTTACATTGTGCTTTCATATGAGTCTTACAAGGCAGAGTGTTGTCATCAAATGATTTGCTCTTCTGCTTTGTATCCTTGAATTTGATCCTTTCCAAAGATTGTTTAGGGGACTTTGTGGCCTCTTGGTTTTTGATTTGCTCTGCTGGTGCAGCTGGTGTAGGACAGGTCGCCTTAGGAGACTGTTTTGGTGGAAGAAGTGGGATGCTGCTGGATTTTGACTCACTGAGGGAGCATGGCGTTTGAGCCTTTGAAATGTTTTGGAGTGATTCATTAGTTTTCTGGATTTGATTCTGATTGTGATCAGGTTTATCTGTTAGATGTGGTGGGGTTGCCTCAGTGATTTGTGTGGGTGTTGTGTTAGCTGTTGTCCTGTTTGTGTTGGAATCTATGTGTGTCTCTAATGTTTGTGTGGCTGAGTCCTTATAACATGTAAAGTCTGCAGAATGGGGTCTTAACTGCAGCTTTGAGTCTTTTGTTTGGTTATGACTATTTACTGTGTGGTTAAACTGTGAACTGTGTGTTTTTGGCATTGTGTGGGACAGCTGGCCTATTTGAGCAGTCTTTTTTGATGTGTGCTGCTGTGGGTTGGCTCTGTCTGTGCTTTTGGAACAAGACTGAGAGCTCAGAGCAGCAGAGGCTTTTCTTGACTGGGGAGGAGCTACAGATGTTTTCCGTGCTGGATTAGGTAAAGTCTGGCTTGCTGTTATTTGATTGACTGCTCTCCTGCGACAAGCACCTGTGCACTGTGTAATTTGAGACCGTCTTCTCCCACATGTCGCACAAAGACGCTGTGGCGAGGTTGCCATTATTCGGCAGGGCCGAGGTGTGGTGGCGTGTGCAGCTGAACAAACACTTGATGTTTTTAACACTGAGCGATGGCTGTCTCCTCGCAATGACTGCACCCTTCTCCTCTCTTGGACTGGCTCTTTATCTTCTGTAGCTTCACTGCAAACCCCTCCCACCAAATCTGAGGCTACTACACTTCCATTAAGATACCGAGTTGTCCTTTTGTCTTTTGTTTCCTTGGGGTTTGTTTGCATGGTCCTAATCTGGCAATAAACTCCACTCCCTGACCCTTGGGACCCCATGTCGTCCTGCGTAAGGCTGTTGATTTCGTTCTGAGATGTCTCTTTTGACACTGGCAGGCTCTTGCTGTCACTTCTGATAGTTCTTCCTGTGCCAGATGCTAGTGCTTGTTCTGTTGCCATGGTGAGGGGCTGATGCATGTTGGGCTGTTGGCTGCCATGTCGTTTGATTAAGGGAAGAGTCTGCATTCTGGGAGATGTCTGCACCCCAATGCTGCAAAGTGGACCCCATCGCCCCCCAGCCAGAGGAACTCCCAGGGCAGGCACAGGATTAGTTGGATCCGCCACTCTCCTGCCCATGCTCCTCTGTAGATTGGCTCAGCCCCCGGAGGAGCTGAAAGGGATGGAGGCTAGCGATGACATCAGCCAGCCTCAGCAAGGTTATATCCAACAGAGAGAAAAAAGTTCCAGCCTTTGTTTACCAGAATGAATCCAAGTGTCTTTGTAGCAGATTTAGAACGTTTTTTTTTGTTTTTTGTATATAAAAGTTGTAGACAGAAGTTCAATAGCCAATAAACTCTGGGGATTCTTCCATTATTGATCCCCTTTGTAGTTTAGCCAACACTTATTGGACATCACTGTCAGAGCCTTTCTCACTTTCTGCAGGTGATGACTTCTTTGGGCATTCCTGATTAGTTCTAGGAAGAATAGACAAAGAAGTAGAGACATAAATGAGAGAAATAAAGGAAGAAATAAGGTGATAAATGGTAAGGCCGGCAAGAAGACACAGACATTAGGCACATTAAGCGCCGTATAAAAGCTTCAACCTCGATTGAATACTCTAACTGATCTGATCGATAAAAGTCTATCTTATAACCAAGGAGAGTTGCATTAACGGTGTTAAAAATTTACAACTGATGTAAGAAAAAAGCACATTTTCTAGGGTCAAAGGGCTTTTTTCTAAAGCGCTATGACTATGACTGAATAGTCATAACACAGATGCTACTAAGGACTGTCAAAGTGTACCACACAAGGCTCATGATTTTACAGTTCCCCTATGTTCCAATTTTCATTAGTGTTCAGGATATATAGATCATGCCTGAAAGAGTGAAATCCCAACAGTAAGGAGAGGGACTTTGCAATCTGTGGCAGCATGGTAAAAAGCTACTGCTTTTTAGTGCCTGTTAGCTTTGTTTTGAGTTTTTTTTTTTTTTTTTGTAGACATAACAGAGGCTCCAATACTCACTGGACTTGTTATAACTATCACATTTGGTCTTTGGTGCTTGAAGGATCTGAGGAAAGGAATTTCTGGCCTGCAATTATTGCCTTTACTTAAAATCTATGATAAGCTTAAACCGTTTATTAAATTGAACTGAATTATTGATAAAAACAGATTTTATCTTTAGAGTATTAGTAATTCATAGCAGCATCACAGCAATTAGGGCTGCATTAAGTGGTAAAAAGGGCAGTCCACAGAAAGCTGACTCATACCTGTGCTGTCACCTCGTTGTAATAATAATGAATAATGAAAAAATAATAAAAAGAATAACAAAAGGTTTGTCACCTCAGTATGCATAGTCAGTTTGATCTGTATTCTAAAGTATGAAAAAGTAATTTAAGCTTTATTTGCTTGGGTAAATTGAATCATGGTGTTAGACAAATGTAGCTTTTAGTATAATTGGCAATTTAGAGGGCTAGTTTTCTGACTCTGCAAAGAACAAATTCCCCAATAGATTTAAGACGTACTTAGGATCAAGAAGGGAAGACAAACAAATGAACAAATCCATTTTATTTTGGGTCTCCTATGATCCCTTCATATTAAATTACTGACAATGTTTTCATTGCAGAATGAAAGGGTACTCATTTTGGGGGGTAGGCTCCTTATTATTTCCTCTTCTATCAACAAAATTACATTATTTAGATGTTATGCTCAGTATTATTGTCACCAGACATAAGCTTCTAGAAGTGTTTCTCTAAATTTCCTTTGCTCAAAAAACAACAGCATGATGTTAGTAGAATCTTTTTGCACAGTACTTGGCACTGTGTGAATGTTTTCACTTGTATCAGAGAAGAAAGGAGATCAACTAAGAGAGAGAAAGAACACCAACCAGTCATTGCTGGTTGTTGTTAGAATTTGAAAACATGCTGTTGCTGTAATATGAGGAGGAGTTGCCCACCGTTGCTGCAGGAACAGAGTGACTCTGCTTAATCTCCAAATTCAGGTTGGTAAGGAAAGAGCCTTATCAAGCTTGTATGGTTCAGCAAATCTGAGATTCTGTTTTTCAGTCAAGGGACTTTGGAAGTAATCATTAAATGCAAGCATGACCCTTTGCTTCGTTCCAAATCTGTGGAAATGCACTGTTAGAGAAGATGGATAGATTAATTGCAACAAAAAAAGCAAAAACATAGCTCTAACAGATATAACAATAAAACAAATCCCTTTTTTTGTCCAAAATTCAAGATGTATGTATATAAAAGTAGAGAAAACAGCAAAAGGCTGAGAGTTTTAACACTAAATATACATTTAAACCTTTGTATTTGGGATCTGAGAGGGAGAACATTTGATGAGATTTTTGCTGCTGATAGATTAGGTTATTTTGAGAACCAGATCTGCACACTACTGGGCCTTTGTCTTTCCACAACCTATTTCAAATTCAGAGGTAATTTTTACAGACAGAAGCATGGTTGTGCAATGGGATCTCCATTGTCACCAATTGTAGCCAATCTTTACATGGAAGAAATGGAAAAGAGAGCTTTAGACACTTTCAATGGAACACCTCCAAGCTACTGGTTTAGATACGCGGATGGCACATTCGTCAAAATCCAGCTAACGGAAGTGGAAGCTTTCACAAGACACATCAACTCTGTTGACCCTAACATCAAATTCACCAGAGAGGATGCTGAGGACAACAAACTACCCTTTCTGGACTGTCTGGTGAGCATGGAAGGAGATGGAAGCCTAAACATTGAAGTGTATAGGAAACCTACTCACACAGACCAGTATCTTCTTTTTGACTCACACCACCCACTGGAACACAAACTCTGGTCATCAGAACCTTACAACACCAGGCAGAACATGTCCCTACTAAAACAGAAGGGAAGCACAAAGAACAGAAACACATCAAAGATGCTCTCCAAAACTGTGGATATCCAAACTGGGCATTTATCAAATCAGCAAGGAAATCCAAAAGACACCTAACAGAAGATAGTGATGAGAAAATTAAACGCAAAAACATCACAATCCCTTATGTCGCTGGAGTGTTTGAAAAACTCAAGAGGATTTTCTCTAAACACAAAAACCCAGTACATTTCAAGTCAAACAAAACCCTTAAACAGAGGCTAGTACATCCTAAAGATAAAACCCCCAGACCGAATATGAGCGGAGTGGTATACGCTGTTCAGTGCAGCGAGGAATGCTCTGATCTTTATATTGGAGAAACCAAACAACCTTTCCACAGACGCATGGCCTAACACAGAAGACTCCGCAGTACATCTACACCTTGTGAACAAAGGACATTCTTTTGAGGACCAGAATGTTCACATTCTGGTTAAAGAAAATAGGTGGTTTGAGAGGGGCGTGAAGGAAGCCATCTATGTTAAAAGAGAAAAACCAACTTTAAACAGAGGTGGTGGACTCAGATTCCAGCTTCCATAAACTTACAGTTCAGTTATAGAAATGATCCCTTCCAGATATCACCACACCCCCCACCCCATCACAGATGAACAAAGTACCTCCCCGCTCCAGCCAGTGAACAATACCTCCTTAACGACCGACCCTTAACAATCATAGACATGTTTCAGGTATTACAGGAGACAATCCCCCCTTTAACGACAATCCCCCCCTTTAATGACCGACCTTCAGAATCATAGACAGGTTTCAGATATTACAGGTTAACAATGGAACCAAATGACCCACTCATCGGTTGCCATTTGCATGTTTCCAGGCGATACAAGGCCTTGTCTATATAAAGACTCAAACTCACTGTGGATCCAGACATTTGAATTGAGAAAGCTTCCTGGAGAGGTAGCGAAACGTCTTCAAATCTAGGAAACCAACTTTTTTATTTATTATTATTTTTAAACTTTTACGGAATTATTTTGAGGAGTGCAACTTAAAAGAGCAGAGAAAACTGAATGAGCAAAGTAGAAAAAAAGTGATGGGACCAAATAGATGAAAACATGTGAGCTGGACTAAGAAAGTAAAGGAACACAAAATCATTGCATTTAATCATTTAATAACAAAAGAAAACTTCAAAAACAACCACTGAAGAAACAAGAACTTTAAGCATTGTTTGAATAATTAAATCTATGAGTTTGTCATCAGTGATCAGTTTTATAGCCCTCAGATATCTTCAAAAAGTTTAAGAAGAGTTTAATTTGTACTACATTCTATTGCATTTTAAATTCAGGCATTGGTAATCTAAGACGCAGACTTCTACTTTTAGATAACTACAAAATAATGCATTATTGGTATAAAGGTTCATAGATTTCTCAGCTAAATCACCAGTGTTTCACTATCCATGAAAAGCTACCAACAGCCAATGTTGGATTCTTAATAAACAGGCGTACTCTAGACAAAGAAAAACACTATTACACCCAGCATGGCGAAGCTAGCCGCTAGCAGTTGTGCATTTTAAAGAGCTAATTAAAAAAAGAAACTATTTGGGAAGTTTTGTTATGTTAAGAAGATTTGTTTTATAACACTTAGGTTCAATAGAGTTCAAATCCTGAAATGACAGAGAATTTGTTTATATTTATTCATAGATGACCCACTCTATTAGAACCCGCATACAAACTATATAGAAATGAGGCTAAGAAATCACAGATAGAAATATTTATAGATGTTGCAGTCTTCTCTTTGCTTTAAAATTTGGATGATTATATAAGGGTTAAAAGGATACAGAACTAAAATATCCATTTTAATAACAACTTTTATAATGATAAAGTAAGAAGAAGAGATTCTAGAATGTTTAATAAAGCCTCATATGCTGCACAAAAAACCCCCAAAGATATACAGTACTGGGTACGGAAACTATTCAGACCCATTAAAATGTTCCCCTCCTTGGTTTCATAGCAGTCATTTGATATCAATGAGTATATATATATATATATATATATATATATATATATATATATATATATATATATATATATATATATATATATATATATATATATATATATATATATATATATATATATATATATATATATATATATATATATATATTGTTTTTAAGTAAAAAACAATGTGAACTGCTTAAGTATTATTTTTTGCAAAGTCAACAAGTAGTGATTAATCATTTCAAGTATAGCACTGAACTCAATGCATCAGTTTGAATTAAAATATTACAGCAGATTTTATTGACAAAGAAGGTAAACTTTATCATAAGGATGGCATATATATCATTAAGAATATTTAGAGGTTGTACAGTCAGCGTTAATCACAGATATTTCTTCTTTAGCTGCTACTCTTAACTCATTCTGAATGCTTCTCTAATGGTACTTGAGTATTCAGAATTAGAGTCACGCACACGTTCTCTTTTACCAATGGCCTGTCATGATTTATGGTGACTCATTTGATGTCCCCATGCTGTTGAGCAGAATGACAATGGGTACTTAATTTTTCCTTTTTCAGCAGCGCGAGAGACAAATATGGTCCTTCTCTTTAGGGTGTCAGTTTCTATTCAACTGTACA